CTCTCTCTCTCTCTCTCTCTCTCTCTCTCTCTCTCTCTCTCTCTCAAATAAATAAATAAATAAAAATTTATTAAAAAAGATGTTGGATGGGGTATAGTTCTGTAGTAAAGTGCTTGCCAAACACAAAAAAGACCCTGAGTTCAATCCCCAGCACCACAAAAACAAGCAAGAACAAAAGATGTGTAGTATTTTGTAATGTTCCATTCTTTATCCAATTATTTTAGGATGTTACTATTTAATTTTTCTTCATGTTTCAAAAATGGGTGGTTCTGTGTTTACTAAAGATTGTGAATCTAGCTAAAAATAAGAAAGAAAGAAAAGCTCAAGTACTGGATCTTTAATCATCATAATTCATGTAACTAACAAAATAATGCACTTGACTTTGTTGACTTACTGTTAGTCACTGAGGACCTTTAAAAAAAACAACAAAAAAAATGATAAAACAGCTATATACATTTATAGTGTTGTAGTAGCCATTTCAGATGATTTCAGAGATTTTTGAATCAAGTAACAGGCTCCTTAATTTATTTGATTTGGGTTTTCATTCTGTGCCTTTTACACCTTCTTGGAATCATTTAAACATTGCCGTGGATTGTTATTGGATGAGCCAAATAAAAAATAAATTGTAATAAGTTTTTACTTGGAATATGTGTTAATACTTCTTAACATTAGCGTGTATGTACTCTATATCTTAATGTAGCTTTTTAAATGTTTCATCGTTGTTTGTGCTTTTGGTGTCATGCATTTCAGTGTTTGCCCTTCATTAGTATGCATAGAAGGTATTGGAGAAGTTGTAAGTATTTTTGTAAGCAGGAATAATATATATTTCAGTGTTGAGTTCAGTGGAGATGTCTGTGATCCCAGGTACTAAAGGGGCTGAGGAAGAATGATCACAGGATAGAGGCCAACTTGGGCTACTTAGAAGACATTGTCTCAAAATAAAATGAAAAGGACTGGGGGCAAGGGTGTGGTTCAGTGGTAGAGTACCATGTGGTTCAAATTTTAGTAATACCCCCTGAATCTCCACAAAAGATAAACAGCATTGTTTCCAAATGCTTGTTTCAAGTGTTCCAGTTACCAATTACATCATTTGTTGTTCTTTTAAACAGATTTTAATTCCTTTTGTTCTTGTTATGTGTGCTTTTGAAGCAGTTCAGTTGACTACACAATTATCATCAAAAAGGTAAGATGAATGTTTAAGAACCATTGGATCTTCCCATAAATGAAAATAAACATTTGAAAATATTCATGCAGGTGCTATTAAGACCCGGTAGCAGAGATTGTTTATTATAAAAATGAGAAATATTTTACCAATTTAGTCAGAGTTCAGTTGTCATTAGAGGAAATTGGTTGGTTAGGACCTCTAGCAGACAAATATGCTCTCTCAGTAATAAAATGTTATTAGAATATTATTCAGCAAATAGTGAAACATAAATATTAAATATTGTAATTAATTACTTGTTTGTTAAAAATATTACTATACACATGTAAAACAAAGAATATCATTCTAATTTCTTTTGGCTTATTTTCTAAGTATGTATTAGTTAAATTTGTTAACATCATACATGGCATGAAATTAACTGTTTACATTGTTTAATATTAACTTTTCTATATATTAATGATTGGCACACTCAGTCTTAATTTCTACATATTTGAATAATGGAGTAGGAAGTCTTTCTGAGTTTTGAGAAATTTCTGGACTAGTCAAGTCTTAAGCAATCAAGATTGACGGAAAGGCCCAGGATATATAGCTCAGCAACACAGGTGCTTGCCTGGCCAGTGTAAGGTCCTCATTGTGATTCATATTAAAAAAAAAAAAAAAAAAAGATTGATTAGAGAAAAGCTGTCAGCTCATCTGTTTGCATTTTTTTAACCAATGAAATTGCTTCATCAGTATGGGGAGTCTCTGAAAAACACATTTGATAAAATGTCAAGTTTCTAAGCAGCTTTGTTGTTCTTGGACTAAGCTAGCACATTCAATGCTGAAAGAAATAACTAATATTAACATAAATTTGCATGTTTTTAATGAACTTAAACTACAACCTAGTTTAGCATACATACTATTATACATATTTCATAATTTTAATGTTTTTTTTTTACTGTTTAAGAAGAGTAAAAATCATGTTCCTAGTTTGAAATGATACAGTTTTCATATTCTTTGGCAGCATATTTAGATGCATTTAATATTGTAACTGTTATCACTTTAAATTTCACATAAAGTTGTTTAAATGTGAAAAATTACTGAATGACATGTACTTTTCTTACATCTGTGTTAGTGTGTAAACTTTTAGAAGGGATTTTGATTAACCCTTTAATATGAACTGGGGACGTGTGGAATGAGAAGTAGAGGGGTTGTCTGAGTGTGTATATGTGTATGTACATGTATTTGTGTATGTCTATGTGTGTGTAGTAATTCTGTCTTGAGACTAAATGCAGTGAAAAACAAATACAAAGGAAGAGAACTGAGTCAAAAGTAGTGAAACTGAGGATTTATAATAGTCTTCTCTTTTGACCTTTAAACCTTACAGGACATTAACATTTTCCCCTTAATATTACAGGTTCTCAGATTTAATATGTCACACACTGAACCCAGAGTCTTGGCTACTTTTCTTTTTGCTGAGACATAATACCTGGCACTGAAAGTTAAAAGAAGAAAGATTTATTTGAGTTCATGGTTTTACAGGTTTTAGTTCATAGTCAGTTGGCTCCAAAGCAGAGTGCATGGCAAAGGGGAATCACAGGGGAAGAAAAGTCCAAGGCAGGGGACACAAGAGGCAGTGAACAGCAAGTAGCAGTAGCAAACCTCTTTTTCCCTTTTATCCCATTCAGGCTACAAGCCTTTTGGTTTGTGCCATCACACCCACGGTGCTATATCCCATTACCCACATCCAGAACAATGCCAAACCAATCACTGAAGTAATCCACTTACCACATTTTTATTTTTTTAATTTTCAGAATTTAGTATATTGCCATTAAAAAATTATTGTGCTTTAATTTTGTACTAAATTTGATGAATTTACATATTAAAGTACTGTGTACTTTACTGTCAACTATTGATGGTAGTTTCAATAGTTACCGTGAACTATTGAAAACAAG